GGGAAGATCCACGAATGCACTCCGAAATTCGATCTCCATCACCTTCCTAAACTTCTAAGTCAACATTTTATACACATTGCTGAGGACGTGTATGACCCTGCATTCTTGCTTCTAATCAGAAGATAATATCTATCAGCGTTACTGAATGAGTCAGACAAAAAAACGCTTATCTGCCCATGGTGATCGTGAAATCAGATGGCAAAAGCTATTCGATTTGTGGAGCGAATATATTTTGACAAAGCAAAAAAAAGGAGAACTTACCTCAAGACCTAGTTTGTAGAAAGTGTAATTGGCGATACATTTGAGGAAATTGAGGAGTTTCTCGTCCATTTTGGCGAAAGTCATCTCAGGAAAGATTATTCCTGGCTTTGGACGATTCATGTCGGACTTTCGATAGCATTGCAATTGACGATATTTTATGACGTGCCAGAAGACGCAGGAGACCAGCAGTAGAGCCAGTGGCTGGAGAAAGAGAGAGAGAAAGCAAAAATAGTTAAATGGAAGGAACTGTCTCCAATCTAATCTATGCACTACTGATAGCTAACAATGAAATTTATGTCGATAGACTAAAAAGTTAGCCCCCAAGACGAATGACACATTATGAGTAAGCAATGAAGGGAAACCAAATCAATAGACTGAAGCATACAGCGCGTTCCTCCTTCGGCAGCATTTAAGGCTTTTGGTCTCCGTGACATCGACTAGGTGATACAGAGTAAAGATGATAATGAATCAAGAACCAGACGCGTAGTAAATTACTACCGACAAATGTATCGAAAGTGAGTTTACTTCGGACACCTTGTATGAGAAGATAATTTGCCCCACCCAGTCAATCGCAGTCATAAAGTGAACCGCGAGAATCATTTAGCCCGTTTCCAATCAGAAGCAAATATCTAGGCAAATGTATCCCCAATAATGCTGACTTTAAATAGCGCAAACATGGACAAAGGAAATATGATGGAGGCTTTACAAAAAACGCGTTATTAAGTGATAATAAGATAATAATTAATAATAAATAAGCACATGAATAATGCTTTAAATGAGTTTGCATAAAGCATCAAAAAGTAGGGATAAAAATACGTGAAAGCTATATAGAGATGTCTGTAGCAGTAGACTCTCTCATGATAGGCAAATAATCGGAAGAAATAGGCCTCTAAGTTGCACATTTTCTGATGCTCTGAAGCGTCGTTTTATACGGAAATAGGTGATAGACGCTGGGCGATTCTAGTTAGCACAGCAGAGTTTCATGCATTTTGCTGGTTTATTGCCTGATATCTAACGAGAGCAATCACTGCAAACATCAAAAATAGACCCACGGAGTGCGCGATCGACTCACCTCTCCACGTGGTGCACCCTGGGCAACGTATACTCATACGGCAAAAAGTCTATTAATCGGCAGTTGACTTCTGACTTCAAACTACCAACACTCCACTGTATGTCAAATTAAACCACTTCAATAGTACTCATCTTACCTTTTCTCTGCTTTTGTGTCTGTCTGTCTCTTTTACATCTGTGAATCACTCTTCCGTTCCTGCCCCCCCCCTCTCGAATTTTCTCACTTTGATGCTCCTCCCCACTGTGAAGCCCAAAGTCATCTAAAGGGCTAATGACAAGCCATCATGAAGCCTGCAATTTGATATAAATCAATAGGCCAAATGCATTTCAAAAGAGGCCCCCTGCACACTGTGATTATTTTTTTTATTTTTAGTTGACACTATCGAAAGGTCTAAGCCTGTATCATTTCACAAGTAAATACACTATAGCATCGTCTAATTCCTCGGCTAGAGCAATCTCAAATAGGTAAATGAGGCCTACAAAGAATGTAATAAACACTCTCATTGTACATTTGTTTAAAAAATAGCCAGGGTTAGCGGTCAAAAGGAATTAGCAAAGGGAAGAGTGGAAAAAGAGAGAGAGAGAGAGAGAGAGAGAGAGAGAGGATGACATTGTAGTCGGCAACTTGACTGGTCATCAAGGTTACTGCAAATAGGGAAAGAAACGAGGGCATAACAAAACAGGTGTGGGAAACTGTAGGGGTTGGTGTGTAAAAGTCGGCTGAAGAATGATAAGTTCTTTCAAAGAAAAATATATTACTGTAATTTAATTGAAGAAAAGCCCACAGTGGACAGAAATTCGCGTAGGAGATGCTTTGTGTGTGGCCAAGGAACCGTCACTACTCCCCCCTTATGAGTTTGAAAGAGGCCTTCAAGCTAATTAGTTAGCCTAAACTATCGCATAAAGCACAAGATATACTCTCAAAATAGGATTTGGCAACGTAGACTAACGTCTGAAGCAAACGAAAGAACATTAACTAATCTAATTGAAAGCCTCTCTCATTTGCGTCTAAATTCAGCAAAAATAATCCGGCAAATATTAATTCGCACCAGATGAAGCTGAAATAGGAAAGAGATTAAATCACAGTAGATATAATTTCCACACCCCCACCCCACCCCACCCCACCCCACCCCACCC